ACATAAACTACAATAAAAACAGATCCACTATTACTTTTTTCTGACTTTTTATCATTTCAGATGTTGAAATTATCTAATCAATTCGGTGTACATTTCATACAGAGATAAAAAATGACAAAATTGTTAGTTAAGACAAATTTAGAGAAAAAGCCAAATTAATTAATTTTTTTCTGACAAAATTGACAGGAAAGGCAAAAATTTCACAGTCGAGGATCTTTTCAAACTAACCTGGACGAGACAATGTGGAGACAAACTAAACTTGTTGACAATCAGACTGCAGAAATACACAACAAAAATAAAAAATAGCAATTATTGCGAAAAAGATTGTTAATAAAACTAATAAAATATAAGTAGGTTATTACTCAATTCGTATATTTTTATGATTTCAATTTTGCAAATGATGGTAAAATTTACTTCAAAATTTTTTTTCCAGAAGTATTCAAAGTTGAGATATCCAGTAACTGACTTTCGATTACGAAAACAATTCAAATGAGTTTGAAATTGGGAATCAATTTTTAGCCCTGCAATCCGTTGAAATGAAAAAAGAGGGGGTTCAAATTAGGTCTACCCTTGCTGGGAAACCGGGAAGTTTTCGGTCCCGTTATCCCGCCAAACTCATTGGGGGCATAGGGCAAACCGCAACCCGATATCGACATAACTACTAACTAGTACTAACTACTACTAACTAGACTGCAGGTTGGGGTATATTAGTTGACCCCTAAGTGAGTGGAGTGTTTTGATGTGGGGAACTTGACTATTAGCCGACACTGGGAAAGACTAATATCAAAGGGGGAGGATTGAAAATTGAGGGAATGTAGGGGAGGGGGTGGTGTTACAATCACGCGCTTGCAAATTAAGTACGAACAAAGAAGTCTTGCAAAATCTTATAGTCAATACAAGCAAAAACCAGTTGATGTTAAAAGTATGATTTGATAAACAAAGATCCAACAAAGTTGATATTTTTATACAAAAAAAATATTTTAACAGCTAACCTGGAAATTAAATTGCATATAGGTTGATTCAGCGAAAGTATTTCACATTCAAAGTGTCAAATGATTAAATTATAAACTTTCGAGACTCGAATCAAAGAATTTTATTTGCAGAACTAGTCTTTTATTGGAAGTTCTTTTTAGCTGATTTTTTTTCAAGCAAGCAAGCGTTTTACGTGGAATGAAGTCAATATCTACTATAATTTAGAAAGTATTTTGTGAAGATTTCCAAAAGGGGTTTTAATTGGTAAAGTGGTATGAAAGGGGAATTGAAAAATGAGTTTGGATTGCAGGATGATGGCCTGATTTAATTTGTTTCGGCGGGTAGTGTTAATGTAATTGAGAAACTTAGATTTAATTGTTCTCATCAGACCGGGAAAGCGCCCAAACATCATACGACCCAAAAAACCGAATTTTCATTAAACACAACAAAAAAGGTTTTTTTTTGAGTCGAAAATGTATTTCATATGAACGGTTAACCTATAAATTTACGGTTTTTAAAGGAAAAAAATGAGCAAAAGGTTTGGTTGCGTAACTATTTTACCTGAAGATTTGATCAATTAGATTCGGCTTACTGAAATACCGTTTAATTGACCTATTCCCATTAAAGGAACCTCCTTAAAAGTCACAGCTCAACAGTACTCCGTAACTGTTGAAATTTTTAATACGTGGGGACGGTGGTGGACCAAATGGCCCAATAGTTAAAGTGAAATTAGCAAAGAGGGTTTTAGTGGGGACATATTGACGGCGATTAATTGACTTTGTCTGGCGAGAGGCGAGAGAGAGAGGGTCTGAGAGCTAAATGGGTTAATTCACGACAACAGTACTTTACTCGGACTTATGGCAACAGGATTGGATAAGGATTAATGGGGAATATATGGAAAAATAGGGAGGGAGGGGGGGGGGGCGCTTCTATTGTAATTCACTACATTCGGGAAAATTAAGTGGAGACTGCATGAATGTTAAAATTTTTATTGCATTTGAATGACTCATATATCATAGACAAAATTGGCAACTGAGGGTTTAAATGGTTAATTTTTGAACAATGAATGGAAAAGTTTTTATAATGCTCACTCTTTTTTCAATGTTTCGTTTTTTTTTTTTCACTTTAATAAACAGCCAAATTAGCAACAAGTGACGGAACCAGAAAATTTTGTAAAATTGAGCAAGACATGGCTGAAATCGCTTCATTTTAAAACTTTTGAATGAATGTCGAGCACGGGCTCTTGATGAATCCACTTTTGAAGCCACACGCAATAATTTCAAAGCAAAAAAGTAAGAATTCAAAGTTTCAGGTGGATGATGCAAAAATTAAAAAAGTTAAGCTGAATTAGGTGAATCAAAACTGAGATTTGAAAAAAAAAAGAAATCAATCATAGCAGCAAACTGACCAGGCAGCTTTTTCTCGACACCAAAAACTTTCATTGCAAAATATAATTCACACCTGCATGAAATGCTTCTACTGACTATAAGATTGGATGAAAAAGGTAAACTTGGTCGAACAAAATTGATTAAAAAATTTATCAACCCGATTTTCGAAGAAAGGATGAAATAATAGTGCTCGGTGTGGTTTTCGTTTCTTCAGACAAATTTCGATTTTTTAACCAGCCTTCTCGACCGGATCGTTCTATACCATTTGAAATATACTGTCGTCCTCGGCACAAACTTAAGAACTTAGATCACTCGTGAACAATTTTTATTCCGACTTTCGAATAAAACGGAAAATTTATGCTCGGTGTGGCTTTTTTATTGAGACAATTTTCACCGATCGAAATGACAGTTTTCAAATGTAAAAAGATATTTTACCTCCGATCAATTTTTGCAAAGTTCTGGGAGTTTTTATGTACTTAAGAGAGTTTAAAAATTGTTAATTTGGCTGATTCGGTATAATTAATTCGCAAAAGGCTTTAAAACTGATTCGAGGCAAACTACGTATTATTACGCTGCTAAAGTTATAAAATTAAATTTCCATTTGGCATGCGGTTTTTATTTTTGAACAAAATTTTAAAATTGATTAAAATTCATTTTTAAAAAAAGATAAATTCTTAAAAAGATAATCGAAAACTATTTCACAGACACCTATATGGCAGTCAGATAATTCAGCTGTTTGCCTTTATTTTTTGCCCAAATGAGGATTCGAATGGAACACACGCTACTTAGAGTTGGAGCAGCAGAATTTATGTACTATTAGCATGTGAATCTTCATTATCACATTATTCGAGATAACTTTTAGATTTTCCACTTATCTTCACAATCTCATAATATCAGTAATAGTAATCATTTTACACCAAATCAAGAGCACTAAGTTGCACTGGGAGTAGCTCTTTGAAAATTGAAAATATACATTTTGTGAGTTCTATTTGTTTTTAATGTAGACTGTTTTAATTTCTCGATAGTTCATCAATTTTCAAGAAACTATTTTGACTGGTAAATCAGATGTTCAAAATCATTCAAACTGAAACACAATCCAAATGTAGGAAATGTCAAGGTAATATATTCGACACAGATACGAAGCGAGTCTTCGCACGACTTGCGATACAAGACAAGCTAACATGGTAAACTAGCCAACGAAAGCTGAGACAAAAGCTGCAAATTTTAAAAATGACGTTGAAAAAAGTCGAAAATTAGTTCTTCGAAAGTTCGAGAAACTTTGTTTCTATTTGTCTTGCATAAAATCTATTTTAGAAAAACGAGCCAAAAAAGATAATTTAACTTCAATTTGGGATCGAAGCAAATTTATAAAGCGATAGCCGACAGCACTTGAGCAGACTTCCTTCGAGCTGAAAACTTTTTTCATGAAATAACAAAAACCAAAAAAAATCCAAGTCCTATCCTCAAAACACAGAAACTAATAAAGAAAAGTTTCTGATTCAAATGAAAGAAAAAAAACTGGAACTGTAGTGGAATTGCAGTGGCTCGAGTTACAAACACACAAAAAAAATGAATAAAAAAGAGTCTGCAAAAATAAAATATGCGCGGAACATGTCTGTTGGTCTATAAAAGTACAGACTCAGAAAGTTCAGATCAAAAATGATTTAGTAATTTTGTTAGACAAGCTGTTTACCTTGAAAAACTATATATTCCGATTTGATAACGCTTGCAGATTGCAAGCGCAATATTTCACTAACATTTGTTCAAATAAAGGAATAGACAAGCTTTCATGATATGTTAAGACAAAGAGCTGTAAATCATCTATTTTAAACAAAAAACGACTGCTCGTATATCAGGGCAAAGGAATGAATATTCCGACTGATTTCTTTTTCAAGCTTTTAGGATTTTTATGTCCATGATAAAAATTAAGTTAAAAAATTAATGGACCATTAGAAAAGCAAATTAATTAAATAATTGCAGGTGAAATAATTTTATATTTTGTATTTGAACTCAGGACGTCAATAGCTTTTAAATGAGATCCTGATATCAGCTTTTTCACAATCCTGTTAAGTCTGGCTCGCTAAAAAACGGAAATTTGTCTGAACGTTCAAATCACACCGGGCAGAATTAGTTTGTCTATTTTTTCGAGCGTCGGAAGAAAAATGGAATAACTATTCTTCAACAATGGTCTTTTAACTATTCTTAAAAATGATTTTTTCAACTATTCTTGAACAATGTTTTTAACGATTTTTGGCAAAGTTTTTTTAGCTATTCTTAAACAATGTGTATTTTTACAAAAAAAAATTAAAGCAGTGTGAGGGCTCTTCAAAAATGACATCTTTCTTTGCCCTGGGCGAGCTCGGAAAATGTGGTCGTGTGCTAAAAAAAGGTCGACAAAATTTTCAAAATTTTTTGAAAATCCGCCCCCTTTCCTTGAGAAAATCCTAGATCCGCCCCTGGTTTTCCTGATATGTTAGCCGAGGCATTTGAAATGACGTGGAATAAAACACAGTTGAGGTTTTTTAGCTTCCTATCCCGTTGAGAGTGGTCAGAGCAAAATTGAACCTTGAGAAGTCATGTAAGTTCCGTTCAGCTTAACTTTTCGTTTTCGGTAACAAATTTTTGTTTTAAAAAAATTACCTGTGCGGGGCTGAGGTGGTTGTTATTGTTGGCCAGATTTGCCCCCTGGCCGAAATGCGAGTGAGGGTGCACGGGAGGTGTGATTGCCCCCCTTCCAATTGACGGGGGGTGCTCATTGATTAGACTGCTTTTTATATCTTGCAACGAGTCAGCTTGAGCACTTGAAGCGTGATGGGCTATTAGTTGAAGTTGGTCTTCAGTCGGGTATGTGAAAGTTTCGCCTTCGTCTTTGTAGCTTATGACCTCGTCGCCGAAGCCCAAATCTTCACTCTCGGATCCCCCGCCCGAGGAGTCCGCCGAGCCAGAACAGCTGCTCTCGGGACGACTCGGTCTGTTATTTGTCGTGTTATGAGTCGCGTGGCCGACGTTTCCGTCGTCGTGCTGGGTGGTTTGTTGTCGGCCTGCTGCGTCCCGCGTGCTGCACTGTTGGTTTGTGTTGCGGGACGAGTTGTTATTCGTTCTAATTGCTGCATTTTGATTGGCTAATGAGGTCGCATTCTGATTGGTTGTCGATTTAGATGACGTCAAAGGCAACGAACTAGAGCACATTTCTGGCATCGTTCGTTTCTGACACGAGAATCTCAAAAAACGAGCGTTTTTTCCAAATTTTTAGTCGGTTAAAGCTTTTGTAACCAAATTATAGTGAATTATAGCGGTAGTTTTTAACCAAAACTAATTGAAACTGTTAACTAATAACAAATTTTCAATTTTAAGTTGAGCGAAGAATCGAAAGGAGATAATTGAAATTATAATTGTTAAAGTTCAAATTATTTTTCGACTCTTCAAAAGAAAATGCTTGAGTGATTTGTTGATTTAGTTTCCTTTTGTTTTCTTCCTGTTTTCACCTCGATGTCAATAAGTTGACTAGCTATAACAAGAACTTAGGTCTACCGGGCGGATAAAACTATAAGTCAAGTTTGAAGTTCCAAAAATATTAATTAACTAATGAGAGCTCTGCTTTGTTTTTGGCTCTTTTTCAAGTGCATTTTGTGTAATTAGGAAATAATTTGGAGACAGATCCCCAAAAAAAAAGAAAAAAATGAGATGAAAGGGGAGAAAAGTGGGAAAATAAAGGAAAAATGAGAAATTAGCGGATAGGTCGATTCACAGGAAAAAAAGAGAATTATAGAGTGGTGATTTTTTGGGGGATTTTCAAGTGGGGTAACGGAGATGAAATAAAAAGTGCCGACAGAAATACTGATTTTAAACTGAAGGTGGATTAGAAAACCTTCAGGCAAAATTTATTTTCTGAAATTTTCGTCAGAGAAACACAACCAAGTTGAGGATTGATTCAAATTCCAGGATTGGCTACTTTTAGGGTCAAATAAAATAGAAATCTTGGCTTTATTCGTTTTCTTTTCTTTTACGAAAAAGAATTCTAGGAAAATTTGAATAATTTATTTCAGCTTAGATGAAAAGAAAATGATTTCCTAATGAATGCAAATTACTGCGGGTAACGTTAATCGAATAAATAAGGTAATTAGGAAAACGGAAGTTTGATCGCAAATAAAAAGTGTCGATAATACGAATTGTGCAAAACTTCAGTGTGGTTGTAACCGAAAGTAAACGATTTTTATATATCTCGTATGTTCCGATCGCTTATCAGAAACTGTTGATTGTTACGATTTTTCGAGGTCCAGATTTATTATTGGCTGTAAATCAAAATCCCAGTTCTGATTCTGAATAGTTGAACTCCAAGATGGAAACGCTCTGAAAAGGTAAAAACTAACGGGTAAAATAGAGGTCAAATTTTTAAACGAGATTTTAAATTGAGTAAATTTAACTGATTTGTAATATTTTATGCGCATGAAATCCAGGTTTTTACAATGAAATTGATATCTTTTTCGGTTGTTTTTTTTTGACGTTTTGTTACTTTTTTTTTAAGATTGGTTGATTGAGTGTAAAAATACGACTTATGTACGCGGAATGACTGATTTTAAATCTTTTGAACTCTAATCGAATTCTCTTACTATTATTATAGTTATATTGTCCATCACAATGTAATATTTTATTTATAATTTTATTGCGTTTTGCACTCACAGTATAAATCGAGTCTCATCACGGAGATCACAGGCAGTGTTCACGGCGGAACAGCGGCGGCAAAAGATCAAAGAGAAAGAAAAAAATCAAATAAAAACAATAAATAAAAGAAAGTTAGCCATATGAGACATGATCCAATGTGATTGTATTTGTAATCATACACTTCGTCAAAAGCGTATAAAAAATTATTTTTAACCAGCGGCCGATTCAAACAATAACCGTTAATAAAACGTTTTTGAAAAATTTTAGAAATGTAAAAAAGAGGACATTTTTTATCGCGTCCAGACAATTCGGCCAAACACAATTCAGTCGATATGAAATTCAGACAATTCAGCTAAAAATATGCAGGCAACTCAGCCAATATGACAAAAATTGAAAATTTTTTAAAAAGAGGATTGATTGTGACCAGAGGGTAGGTTTCTATTCGAAATTAAGAGCCTGCTTAAAATTTTTGAGCTACTCGATTGCGTTAAAAAACACCCGGAATAATCAATCTGATTTTTCAAAAAACTCCTGTGTAAAAAATTATTTTTTGAATTTTAACTTCCAACTTCATTCTCAAAAAGATTTTACCGTTTGCTGTTTTGAATGAATACTTACCGAAAAATAGATGAAGATATTTCTGGATTTAAAATGATGTCCAGTTGAGTAAAAAAGGATCAGCTATCAAATATAATCAAATTATAATTGGTTGACTGTTGAATGACTTGACTCCCGTGAACAATTATTTTATATTCAACTAACTGGCTTTGGTATTGGCTGGTTAAAAACCCAATGGTACTAATACTTGTCATCAAATTTAGTTTAGTGGTTGGTACTATTTATTACGAAATGACGGTGTTGTGCGTGTAAGATTGTAATGCATATGTGTATGTGTTGGAAATAAGAGATCAAAATATCTCGATGGTGTTTAGATGAAAGAGCGAATGATTGTTTGTTTTGTTTGTTTCTACACCTTTCATCTTTTTCTCTCATCTCGTTGTGATCATCTCTTGATCTTTCGTTTCTTTTCTCAATTGAAGTTAAATCGGTTTTATTGGTTGTTGCTTTAACGATACATATGGCAGTTAAAAGAGTAATCAATCGTTCGATCGGATAGATTGAACAATCAAAAACTTAATTCATCGTCGAAGAAGAGTAACCGGTTGCTTAAAACTGCACAGAATGTTAGGACCTCGTCCATTGAATTGAAAAAATCAAAATAAAAAGAATTGAAAAAAAAACGGAAAAAATTCACATTTTAAAAAGTTTTTACCTTAACTTTCAGTTTTAGACTTTCAGTGAAATTTTTTTAGCGAAGCAAAAAGTTGAATTTTTTTGAGCAAAATCTTGAACTTTCGTTATCGATTTGACAATAACATCTAGTAGAGCATCCCAATCTTATGATGAAATTGTTGGAAGTCTGTGAAGTTGGCGACAAATACAAATTCGGTTGTATTTAGGCTGAAAATGTGAACGCTTCTTATTTCACATGAGAAAAACTTGGTTTTTTTTTTCATAAATTTGAGTTAAATTGAGTATATCGCCGGGAAATGTGAAGTCGGCATTAGATTCAGTTTTATAATTAAGGGTAAAACACCAAATAAACAAGACTGCTCGTATCAGGGCGAAGCCCTGAATGTTCCGACTGCCTTTTAAGGTTTATGGAGCAGCAGTAATAACCTTAAAAAAAATTAAATGAAATAAAATAAAACGAAAATTTTTTTTTCTAAAATTTGAAATTTTTTATGAAAATCATCCCCCCACACGCCATATAAAGTACAAAAGAATAGATTTAGCTCCTAGTAACAAATCAATTATGGCAAATAAGCTTCGTTCAACCAATTTGGAACGATTTATAAGACGGATTAAATCTCCGCTTACGGGTTAATAACGCGAATTACATCGCGCGTTAATTGTCCCAAATTGGTCAAAATGGCCAAAATAGCAAACTTTAAACCCTCATAACTTTACGAAAAATGATCACAGGTGAAATATCTTTTCAAATTTAAGCTCAGGACAACAATACCTTTTGAATGATATAAAAAAAATCCGTCAAAAATGGCTAGTTAAAAAGTCGAAATTTGTCTGAAGAAAAAAAAAACCCACCCCGAGCACAAATATTCCGTTACTTTCGTATCGAAAGCCGGAACAAAAACACAAGCTTTACAATTGGAACGGTTAAAACAGAATTCTAATTAATTCTCGATTCGAAAATTGAGTCGATTCGATTTTCAGACCATTTTACTGAAAAATTCTCGTTCTTTTTTCCATTTTTTTAAACTGAAAATTTCTGGTACGATGTAAGACTAATGATTCATTTACTTTCCTTCAGATAATTTTATTGCATCTGTTGCCAATTTTCTCGACAAGATATTCACTGTGATCTACTTGATCTAAAATTTTTGAAGTTCACTCGAAGAGAACAAGTCTTAAATTTCATTCATTCAAAATCATAAGAAATAAATACGTATATGTTTTTCATTTCACAGACCCCTGTCTAAGGGTTTTTTTTCTGTTTTTTTTTTCTGTTTTTTTCACCTTTTTTTACTTAATTACTGAACCCCTAGTTTCAAACTGGATCAATCGTACAATTTAACCCCTACACCTACGCTACGAAAATCTTCTGCAAAGTTGACAATGTACATACAGAGATGATTTTACTGGGCCGGCTAGGGTAGATAATTGTGACAATACTCAAGGAACGTCCCTGATGTCAACCTTATATCGATTATTCAAATACTGGCACCTAAACTGAATATGTGGCATATCAATAGCGTTAAGTACATTACATCCGAAAATAATTATGTTGCTAAGTTTACAGACGCTTAAGTGAACCATCGTATAATCTTTCTCTTAGCCATATATTTAGTTTTTGACTTTAAAAAATGCACTTCAAAACAAATCACAATTACGTTGTTTTTCAAAAATGTTCATTGGGAAATGACCTTGAAGTTAAAATAGGAAACTTTGAACCCAAATGCGGCTGAGCTTTTGGCTCAACTGGAAAAAAACTGACACCTTCAGTCTTTCCTAAATTTGTTTCAGGCGTTTTCCATCTAGGATAATAATAGCCAATCAGATTCGTTCAATCAACCTGCTTGATTAGTTTCAGCGTTCAACAATGCCGAAATACAACAGTGCAGAAATTGAAAATGTGTTCAACAGTCTCAAAATTTGATCATGTTTGGGAATTTTGAGTTCTTTTTAAGAATCTTTGTCAGTTTCATTTGCGTAAATACTGTTTTGTTTTGAAGCGAAACCGAGAAATCAATTTGATATTTTACTGAATCGACTGTTTGTTCAGAAAAATTTATGACGCCACGCTTAGGGAAATTTTATTTGTTCATTCAGCGGCATTTTTTTGTCTTTTTCAACTTCCGTCCATTCGAATGTAAATACTTCTCAATGATTTCACTAGTCAAAATCCCGCTCAAACCGCCCAAAAACCGTTTCAAAACCGCTTAAATCTTGGACAATTTTTTCTTAAATGTTATCAAAACGGTTTATTTGTTGCAGGGCACGCGCAAGCAGCTTTATAAAAACCTGAGATCAAGTGTTGTATTTGAAATTGTTTTGCAATCCTCGACTTAGGTTGGAATGAGTAAAATCAGTATTGAAAGTAATTTTCGGCATTGTCAATTAATGTTTTGATTTTAGTCTCAGTTGTAATTCGGCTCTGTTGTACTGCCCGTTTTAACGAATCTGTAGCTGACTCTGCAATTTTTTCGCCATATTCACTGTGAACAGTTTTTGAAGTTCATTAAAAATTTGGGATGGGGGTGGTTCAAAAAGATTATGACCAGAGTTTCATTCCGGTATGTGCAGCATTACAATCGAATATGTATCTGTTGCCAACATAACAGACCTAGAAAATGTTTTCAGTTTTTTGATTTTTTGCTAGCTTTGTTTGGAAACAAAATATTTTAATAGTTCGAACAAGTAGTCCAAATTTTGTGACGAATATGTTTTTTTAGTCAAATTTTGCTTGTTTTTTTTTGCTAATTTTCTGGGAATGCGGCTCTGTGGGTACGCACCATGTTAAGTCGGTTTAAGTTTTTATTGACATATTTTCAAAATGTCATTATACACTATGACCGTAATATGACACTCAGCAACCAAAAAACTTATTAGCTCGAAAAAAATCATGAATTTCTCAAAATTTATTCGAGTTTTTCAAAACTTAATGTTTTCTAGTTTCTTGTTGTTTTTTTACTTTATTAAAACCATATACTTACTAGGGAAGAAGATCATTGAAAATAATATAACTAATAATTATATTAAGAATATAACAAACTGGATTCAGAAACAATGAATGAAAAACGACGTTTGGGCCAGAGAAGAGAGAAAATAAAATTTCCGTGGATTCAGATTTGAGTACTGTCGGTTTTCCCAGGAACACTTTCAAGTTTTTGAAGAGAATGCAAACTTGCTCAGGTGTGTTGATTGAAATGCGTATGTATTCGAATATGAAGTCGTTGAGCGTAACTCGATTTATTTTGATTTGATTTGTTCTGCTGTACTTTATTCTCTATCTCTGGCGTTGGTGGTTTGTGATTTCAATTCGGTTCTGTTTCGCTCTTCTTTCGGCTCTGTTCCGTCCGATTCTGTGATAAAATGGACCTAGGCAATGCCTGGCTACAAAAAGACACTCACTAATTGGCATAAATAATATTAAGCCTACAGACTCATTTGCCACCAGTCAAAAAATTTTATACACCATTTAAGGAAAATAACATATTTCAGCAGATTTTTCTGTCATTTGAACGAAAACCAGGGATTTTTAGTCTATTTTTCGTAATTTTGGGAAATAGCTCCGTCTTCGAGGGCATTTATCAACCGTTGTTTTTGCGAACTTATCTGCCTTATAACATATTTTAGCATGTTTCTACAGATATTCCCGTCGGCTTAACTGACCAATTCGGTCAGCAGCGCTGATAGGCGATTTGTAGTGCAATAAGTTGGAGGAGAGAAATAGAGAGTAGGGGAGATGAAAGGGGCCGCCGCATGACACAAATACTTCAAAGGGAGAGAAAGAGAGAAATGCCGCCGCCTGTAGTAGTATCTGAACAGGCAAATCAATTGAGTGAACGAAGAGTGAACGAATAGAGGAGAATCAATTTCTGCAGAAAGACTGAATGACAGAATGTCATATTAGCCAATCATAACTACCAATTCAAAAATTATCACTAAATCAAATTGAAAATTAGTCAGTATTGCACAATTAGACGATTGCCTATTTTGGAGTTTTCTGACAGTCAGTCTGTCGGTCAATTGAACAGTCCCGGAAAGTAGCAGCACATTTTTACACGCCCGGATCAACACCAAATTACTGCCTCAATCGCTAAATTACACGGAGGCCGGTCTAAGAGAAGATTGACCCAAGAGCAGAACAACCCGAAAAGAAATTCGCTCAACGCTCAAAATTTGATAGTAGATAGCAAACGAAGTGAACTTTAAAAGCAACCGAAACTCAATTTATTCATACTAATTTTGCCTCGGCTAATTGCGCGTGTGTACGTTCATCGTGAAAATCTAAGATTCTTTTGGAGGAATTAAGTTCAACCTATCATAGTATTTTTTGGGCGATGTCTTAGTTACCAAAAGGGCATGACTTAGCTGGTGTGAAACTCCGATATGGAATTTTTCACAGAATTAGTATTCACAGTCAGTATTTAAAAGGAAACGATTCCACTGAAGGTTCTTTTCGGTTATAACCCCCTAAGTTCTGAAAACTACAAAATGAAAACTTTCATTTGAAAATTGGAGCAGAATCTTAACAACCCCCCCCCCCCCCCTCTTTCAAGAAGGGGATTGTTAAATAGATCAAAATGGTCGACTTTTCGACCAATCAGAACGCAGCAAAATTCGAAGTCTCAATACAATCTCTTGTGCTATTTTACTGTTTCTATTTACAGGGTTGGAGATTCTTTATTAGATGGGGGGGGGGGAGATGGGGGGGGGATGGGGGGGGGCTGAGATTGTTAAGTAGATTCTTGGAACAATATTATTAATTCAAAGTGCGGAAGAAAGATGGGAGCGACTAAGTACAAATTGTCCTCTGAAACAATTTAAGGTGGAGTATATGTAATATCTGACAGATTGTATTTAGTTTGAGACTTTTTTGCCCTCTCCGCACTGACAAAAATGGATTAGGATCGATTTAAGTATGAAAAAACTAAATTGAAAAAATTTAGATCGATTTTAGTACGAGAAAAGTACGAAGATTGAATAAAAAAGATAAAAATTGATTTGGATCGATTTAAAATCAATTTAAATTGATCGTAAAACCCTGCTACAAAAATTGATCCAAGTCAATTTTAAATCGTTTTAAGTCCATTTTTTCCAGTCTTAATTTTTTTGTTTTTAAGGGGATTGAAACAGATTTAAATCGATTTTTTATTCATTCGAGTTTTACCAGTTTCAGATTTTATTTGCACTTATTCATTGCCTAACATGCTTCATTTTCTTCCATTGCGTATTGTAGCACCAAAATATCGATAAAAGACCAAAACATCGATAAAATTCTATGATTTCCTTGTATTTTTTGAGTTCAAAAACTGATCTATATTGACCCTTTTCTTGATTATTTTCATAAGTTTTTGCTCAAAATCTGATCTACAATCATGATTTTCTATGATTTAATTGCATTTTATTCAGATCAAAAATTTGATTTTTTCCGATTGTTTTCTTGTTTGTTACATATGATTTTCCCATAATCTGATTTTCAATGATTTTCTATGATTTCATTGCATGTTTTCGAGCTTAAAATCTGATTTATGTTTATCAATTTATTGAATTCTATAACATCTGGCATGTGTGTTTTTATTTAAGAAATCGAAAATTAATTATATTAATTTTTTTTCTGCAGAGCATGTTTTTTTGCCGTGTTAGCTAAAAAAAATCGATTTTAGTGAGTCGGAAAATCCATCCAAATAGATTCAAATCAATTTTTAAGACACTTAAATTGATTCATATTTTTCAAGAAAGATCAATTTGAATCGATTTAAAATCCAATTAATTTCGTAAATTGTACATTGTTAATCGATTTGGATTGATTTAAAACCGATTTAAAATCAATTTAAATTGATCTGAAACCATTTTTGTCTGTACGGGTTAGTTTTTAACCTCATTGAAGTTAAAACTTGGGGATGAAATTTGTCCTCTGAACCAGGAGAGTGCCAAAAGTAAATGAACTACAGTAAAATACCCTCCCCGAATTTGTATGTCTTAAATATTTAGAAACTTTTAATGCGGTTTTGTATTTTGATAGGTTTTAAAATCAGTTGAACTGTCATTTTATTTTAGTTCCGATTAATTACTCTTGTTAGTAAGGGGATATAAATTTTTCTTCAAAGTTATCATATGAAAAATTTCTATTTTTTCTCCCCCAAAGGAGTGGGGGATATGGTAAGGTTCATCTAAAACATGAATGGTATTTGTGGAACCAAATTTGGATTTTGATCAATTTGTTCACTGAATTGGTCATGGAATGAGAGAAATCTCGTTTGATTCTTCAACATATAACCAGGAGAGATCTCAATTTCACAATGAGGATTCATATTTTATCTAAAAAATAAATATTGTTCCACCTTTCGTAAACGAAAATGGGTCTTTTTACTTATTCCGTCCAACTCAATATTCCAATATCTTAAAATCAAACTATTTTGCTTCAATCTGATTGGCTAGAACTATCTAATCAAATTTCTACTTCAACTCAAAATGTTTGGTTCTTAATTAAAAGACGACTTTTGAATCAGCCGAATTGGCCTAAAATGAGGAGTGTTTGTTAAACTATTCAAAAACATTTCAAATTCGCTCCAGAGTTTTACCCAGATTGGAAAAAGACACAGGGAAGAAAACAGCTCCAGGGAAAAAACCACCTTCGTATCCGCTTGAAGTTGGGACATTTTAGAAGTCGGCTTAAGAAAAAAGTGATCGCGTTTGTTTCAATCAAAACAACCAGTGCTAGCAGTTTTTTGTTCTCAACAATTCTACATTGAATATTACGAAATTGCAAAATTGAGAAGTTTGGGCAGAATAAGTAAAAAGACCAATGTAAGTAGACACACTTCTTGGTTTTTTCAAAAATGAGTTTTTAACAAGCCATGTTTGACCCAATTGTTTCATATTAGTCAAAAGTTATTGTTGTCTTGAGCTTAAACTTAAAAAATTGTTTCACCTGTGATCATTTTTTTGTAAAGTTATGGAGGCTTAGAGATTGCCATTTTGGCCGAGTTGGGACAATTAAAGCGCCATGTTTGTTTTGCATCCTTGCCATGTCAGTATTCGATCATAATAAATCCATTCAGGGAGATTCTGCCTTTGGAAATGAAAGACGAATAAAGATGAATGAAGGTTTTTGACCAAAAATGGGGTGTCTCATTGTACTGACTATGTAGCACGAATTCGCAGGACACTACCGTTGTTTTGAACGATGCGTGCTACAATCTCCAAACGAGTTACATGAAGATCGATATGTCTGTTGCTCTCTCTTAAAACTTCAAATTCAAGTAAAACTAGCTTTTCAAGGAGCTGTGAGTTGTTTCAGTTGATATTAGAAAACATTTCGAGCTCTTGTGAAAACTTTGAAACCACATCTCAGTTGAGTTCGCTTCGTAGATAGAGAACTTTTGTTTTTCTTTTTGTTGTTTTTGCCGTCTTTTTTACACTAATCACAAGAAATCTGCTGCGTCTAATGCAAACTTGCTTTATGATTGTTTTTTTTCTATGTATTTCAAATCTTGTTTTAGTGTTTCTTTTGGGTTGCTATATCTATTTTTTTGGGTGCTGCCCGAAGAAGTTTTTTTTCCAATACGTTTTGCTGCTGTTACTATAAACTTCCGAGCTACGGGAAGAGCAAATCGTCCAACAAGAAGCCACAACCCCGTTGTTTTTAATATGTGGCATGGTCGCATGATTATAATAGTACGCCTTCATGTGCTTAATCACAAAACTTTTGACAATTCAAAGTCACAACAGTAGTTCCTCCTGCTCCCATAAACGAACAATTTTACCTGTTTGTCTTCCTAAAAATACAGCAATTATCTGATTGTTATTCATAATAATTTTTTTATAATCTAAATTGATAAAAACTTTGAAGGGATTTCGTTCAATGCTGCAAGTGTAACGGTTTATCATCCACCGATTAGTTTCAATGATTCCTAGGATGCAGGTCGTGTCACCCACAATCTTAAAGTGAATGATGTTCAAGTAGATGAGCATGAAATGGGTACAGCAAAGATATCAAACTCGAATCGGAGATGAGATTTTGTGAAGTGAGAAAGCTGAGGATATGACCGAAATCTTTATAACCAACATGATAGGCCACTCCATCTCCTAAATCATTGAAATGTAAAATTATGGGAATCCGAGGACTCTCAAAGGCATTGTTTGGCCAAAAATGCCTCTAAATTGGAATATGTTTGTTAATTGTGTCCATTTTATAACTGAAATTCTCAAACTTTATCTTCAATTTAGTTACACTCAAATTTTTATCAATTTCAATGTATTCACGGTCGTGACCTCACCTGTCTCTACATCCTATGTTCTAGTTATTTCATCTTTTGATTTTTACGCTTGTTTTAAATACGTTTTTTTTTGTAGTACACTGTTTTATTTTGGTATCCGTTATTTTGTAAAACTGTTTGGAAAACTTTATTTGTGTGAATGTCACTCTCCATTTGATTTGTAGATCGACATAATCGCTTAACAGAATCTTAAAGTTCAATAGCGAGTTGTCAATGAAAATGATAATTGAAGCTGGCGACACCCAAATAATAGTAAAGGAATCTTTGCAGTCTCTTAAGTTGTCAGACAATGTCTAGTTGATCCAGTGGCTGCGCAGAATTTATTTCTAAGGGGGCGGTTTTACAAAAAGTTTTGAAAATTTTTCAAACTTTTTTTATGTTGACCAATTTGGTTTTCGAAAAAAGCGTTTAACTAAAAGTTTTCTAAAGGCGCCTGTGGAACCAATAAGAATAATTTTAAGGAAGGAGGTAGCGCCAAAATTGCGTGTTAAAATTTTTGTTAAATTTTTCTGCGCTGCAGGAAAACTTTTCAAGGAAAATGTATTACACAATTACACATTTAAATCCACAGGCGCCTTCAAAAATTTAACCAAAATTTGCGCGTTTTTTGGCGCTACCCCAACCTTGAAATTATTTTTGTTGGCTCCGCAGGCGCCTTTAGAAAATGTGTAAGATTGTGTAGCGAAAAATGGATGTAATAAAGTTATACAAAAGAGGGACCTATTGGAAAAATCTGTCAAACATAATTGAGGAAGAATTGGTCGACACCCCAACCCTCACCCCGCCACCCCTCAGCGCCATACTGAATTGATCCCTTCGTTTCCAATACAACGATTAGTTCGGACCCATAAAAATTACCCTCTACTGGTTCCTTCTCGGCGTTGGTGAGAGTAAAAAATGGCGGGTTTCATTTTAATGAGCCACTTACTTCACAAATTTTGTTTTTGAATGATTGTATAATTCTTTTTGGAAAGGGAATGTCTAATTTTGCTATTTTAACAAA